ACTGGAAAGAAGAAGGCATAGTGACCCCGGTTAAAGATCAAGGTCACTGTGGATCTTGCTGGACATTCAGGTTTATATTCTAGCTTGAGTATTTTCGATCATCATCGAATGAAAATTGTAAATTAAGGCCTACTAATTATCGTGTACTTCAAATGTTTGACACTAATATATGGCTGCTGCAGCACCACTGGAGCTCTCGAGGCAGCGTATGTGCAGGCATTTGGAAAGCAAATCTCCCTCTCCGAGCAGCAGCTTGTGGATTGTGCCGGAGATTTCAACAACAACGGCTGCAATGGTGGGCTGCCATCTCAAGCATTTGAGTACATTAAGTATAACGGGGGTCTTGACACTGAGGCTGCGTATCCCTACGTTGGAGTAGACGGTGCTTGCAAATTTTCGTCGGAAAATGTTGGCGTCCATGTCGTCGACTCTGTCAATATCACCCTGGTAAGCGTAATGGGACTGAAAAGCAGAGCTTATAAGCACTTTTGACAATTGACATGCTTTAAATTTCAAGGGGCAGCTTGTAATGTTATGTGGAAAATTATGCAGGGTGCTGAAGAAGAATTGAAGCATGCCGTTGCATTTGTGCGGCCGGTCAGCGTGGCGTTTCAGGTCGTCCAAAGTTTCCGGTTTTACAAGTCGGGAGTTTACACCAGTGACACATGCGGCAGCAGTTCCATGGTGAGTTTAACTTCTGATCATTACTCTTAATCTATATGTGTTTTCAAAATTAAGCAAAATGTTATCCTAATCTGGTGTTATGTTTGCAGGATGTGAACCATGCAGTTCTTGCAGTTGGGTACGGAGTGGAAGACGGCGTCCCGTTCTGGCTCATCAAGAACTCTTGGGGACAAAGCTGGGGGGACAATGGCTACTTCAAGATGGAGTACGGGAAGAACATGTGTGGTAAGTTTTTCGGATTGCTAAACTAATAAATGCGAGATATGTTTTTGACTGGAAACTGAGGTGCAGCTTCTTATTCATTTCACTGATCTGGATTGCAGGTGTTGCAACATGCGCATCGTACCCCGTTGTCGCGTAAGTCTGTCGAGAGAAACGGCGGCCTTGGTTGTGGATATGTAAACGAAATTCATCGTTGTTTCGAGCTGGGAGATGTTCTGTTGCAGTAGGGTTTCCAGTTTGAAGGTGAACGAAAGGGTCGTTGTTCAGTGGCCGATTGTAATGTTTCTATCTTGATGCACAAATAAGTTAGAAGACTCGATTTGTTTTCGGACATTGTAATGTAAGCAACAAAAGGTCCTTTTTTAAATTCTCTATAAATCAAGATACAAAACGAAAAACAGGTTATGAGATCAATTAGCCTGCTTTATTTGAAATAAAGGAAGTCATAAATTATAATATAACGTAAAACTCACAATAATTTTTTCATTCCATGTGTCATGAGAACTTCTTATTTTTTATTCAAAAAAAAAGAGATCAGTTGATAGTTTCGCCACGATAATTCGTAGCCACTATCACGTGATTCACAAGTGCCAGGAATTGAATATGGAATGTGCCATGTGAAATACAAGACCAAAATTCGCCCCCAACCACTGAGCAACCCATCATAGTTATGTGCCAATGTTCTGGCAAACGTATGGAAGACAAAAAAGGGAATATAATTCCATACTCATTCATGTATAAAAACAATGTCAAATTTCGAAAATGGTTGCATAGATGCACGTGCCGAAACGTCAAAATTTCCATCTTCAACTTGAACGAGGTTAGTGTTTGGGACTACATTTGAAGAAGTAGACAAATCACACGACTAAATTGGAAAATCGTTCTAATTACAGGGACCAACAGTGTAATTTGGCCAACCGATAATTTTGTAAAAGTAGCATCATCAATGAAATGGAATGGAATTCATGCACATCAATTTCTCTGTAACGCAGTAAAGCAAGGATTGTGGCAATGATTTTTATAACTTGGAAGAATCGTGGTAAGCCAGCAACATATAAAGAAACGAGCAAAACGCTTATGAAGTGATTAACATGAACAAGTATGCACAAAAAAACTTATATGATTCGAAGCGATTTGCCGAGTTTATGAAGTTCTGTAATTGCTCCCTCCCAACTCCCTCTGCCTTGCCATGATACCAGATGCATTGTGGCTGAAACGCCGGAACATGGACAAGCATAACCATGTTGAGTGCAAGGGACAGCCTATTGAGGAATTATATCATTGAGCAAAACTGGTATGACAAGGCAAATATACAGTCTCGACTCCCAACTCAAAATGAACACGGGCAAAGTACTTACTGGTTTTCGACCCATTTGTGTCACAGAGCATGCTCCATTTGGTACTTGATTCACCATTGCGCGTGAAAGGACCTCCTCCAACCACTGGAAGAAGTATTCCAATTCCACTTTTGTGGTAGAGCTTCAATCAAACAGCCACTGGAATTTGTGCATTTGCTTTCATATGATCAGTTCTTCCTGAAGGTGACATGCCCGAATTGAGGTCATTATATGCAATTTGCTTAATGTGATGGGCTTCATTAGGCATCCCAGCCTTCATGAGACAAGATGTCAAAGAGTTTACGGTGATGCTGTCTGGGGCACAACCAATTGCCAACATCTTTTTAAAATTGCTAATTGCCTCGGACATCCTCCCTTTCATACAATTCCCGAGTATGAGAATGGTAAATGTCACTTTATCAGGGCTGCATCTCTTCTCTTCCATCTCTGCCACAATGGCGTTTGCCTCATCAACATTGCCAGCCTTACAGAATCCATCTATCACAGGGTTATATATAAAAGGTTTCGGAACCACATTACTCCACTTTAATTGCCTCAAGAAATCACGTGCTTCATGTAGTCTACTCTCCTTGCACAAAGCATTAATAAGGACAGAGAAAGTATACGCACTTGAGACACATTTTTCCCATTCATCTCCTGCCAAAGCTTTAGTCCCTGACTCAGTTTCCCAGCTCGACAATGGCCATCAATTAGGGAAGTGAAGGTAAAAACGTCTGAATGATAACCATGAAAGAGCATTTTCTGATGCATAGCAAGTGCAGAACCCATGTTGCCAGTCTTACCAAATCCATCAATCATTGCATTGAAAGTAACAGAAGTTGGTCTAACTCCGGCATTAATCATCTCATCAAAAAGAACAGAGGCCTCCTCCATCTTACCCAACTTGCAATATCCTGATATGACTGACGTAAAAGTTATAACATCAGGTGAAAGTTCGATTCTTGATTGAACCTCTTTAAGTAATTGAAATCCCCTATCTACCTCATTAGCCCTACAAAGTCCACTAATTAGTGTGTTATATGTAACTATATCGGGGTAGCAACCAGAACTCCCCATATCACTGAACAACTCAAAAGCCTTGTCAATTTCTCCAACTCTGCATAAACCTCGAATTAGAATATTGAAAGTCCAGTTATCCGGGCAACCATGCGACCCCATATGCTTTCTAAACAAGCAAACAGCCTCATCTACTTTATTCTGTTTAACCAACACATTGAACAAGTTATTGTACACGAAAGGAGGCAATCTAATCTCACCACAATGAGCCTCATTAAGAAACTTCTCAGCATCATCCAACTTGCCCATCTGCGCATACGACGACACCAAGAGTTCTACAACCGAATCATCGGGTGTATGCCCGTCACTCCTCATGTAATCAAACACCAATTTAGCAGAATCTTGAAGCCCCATTTGACACAGAGACCTCAAAAGAAAATTGTAAGTCCATACACTATGCTTAACACTCAGACTAACCCTACTGAGCTCAAAGAATTTCAACCCCAATTTCGGATTGTTCAACCGCTTAATAACCTCAAAAGCAATCGAAGGCGAAAGGTTCTTACTAAGATAACCCAAATCCAACGAATGCGAGCGAAGAAACAGAGTGCAAACAACTTTTACAAACCAAACCTCTGGGTTTGACGTTACCTCAAAGTCGTAAAGCGGGCGCGGCCGAGCTCCGCCGTGGGCGAGGCTGTGGAAATGAGAAATGGCGATCTTGGAGGCTCGAACCCAGAAGGTCGGACGGGCTGTGAAGAACAGGAGGGTCATCTGCACCGCCGCGCCATCACGCGGCTCAGCTCTGCTCTCGTAGATGTTTTCAATGAAAATCCTGTTCTGGGTTCCGGTTGATTGGCCGGATTTTCTCACGGGTCGGCCGGAATTCGGATTGGGATCCTGGGTCTTCATGGATATGAAGAAAAACCCAGAAATGTCAGCATAGCAAACCGGAGCTTTATCGGGGCTTTAGGCCTTTTTGTGGTGAGATTAGTCGGAGGGCTACGAAAACGAAGAAATGGAGGAAAACCCAGCAACCAGAAATGGAGGAAGAAGATGAAATCCTGGAATTTGGCTCATTTTTTATGAAGTTGTGAGGTCACTGCCTTAGGGTTTATCAGTGATCCAGTGGTGGCTTTGAGTTGGAGATTATGTCACCGGCCTTTTCCATATAAGATTGCCCATCTGAAAACTTGGCCTCCTCTTTCGGCCCAATATTAAGTTGCGCAAACGACATTTTTATTTTTTCACTCTTGTTTTATTCTCATAATATTTTTACCATTTACAGCCTAAACTTGAAACCAATTGACCATAATTAGTTTTATTCTCATTTTTTCATTTTACATTTCTCTTGTGTTGTTATTCTCTTTCAATTTATTAAGTACTAAAACTAGAAAACGATGAGAGAAATGAATGTAGATTTATTGGCAGTGCCAAACTCACTTCTCTTCTATAAAAACACCTCAAAAATATGAGCCTATGAAGGGGTTCATTGGTTTGTGAACTAGCAAGAATGCATCCGAAAATGATTCCTCATGCAAGTCACGAGCTTATATTTGACGGAATTGTGGATGAAAATTAGATTGAAATTCCATATTGTAAAAAAAACCCAAATTTGGGGTTGTTAAGTGTAAATATTTGTTTGTTAAAGGATAGATACATAAAAGAAGAAAACTTCAGGCCCCATTTGTGCAATTTTATATAATTAATAAACAAAAGTATTAGCAAAGCTCTGGGGAGTTCCGAGTCTGAGACTGAACTCTCCTTCCAAAACTGAAACTTGAAAGCAGAGATCGCAGTTCGCAAATACACAGAACCGAAAATCCATGTCTAAAAATGTCAACAGAGAGAGAACGGCAAGGTTCTCTGCCGTCAACATCGCCGGAGGACAACGCACTGTAAGTCTTCCTCCTCAATCTCCCTCCAATTCCCACACACAACTCGCCAATGCCATCGTTTTCCGCCGCCCGATTCCAAATCCCCGCCGATGATTTCGGCGCTTCACCTTTCAGGTTTGTGGATATCATGCACGAGGCTCCGCTGTTCGGCCACCGGAAGTCGAGGAACCTCTTCGGAAGTGTTTTCTACTTAATCATACTCGCCGGTTACTCTGCCGTGGCCGTCGCGGCTCCGTGGATATTTCAGGCCATAGACGATTTGATACCCCAATTGCTCTGCAGCTGCAACGTCCTTCTTCTGGTAGTCACAGGTATCTGTGATTTTTTTTTATCTGGGCAGTCTTCAAATTTAGAGACTTTTCGTGTTTTCGCATCAAAATTTAATCTTTCAACTTCTTTCAGGCATTTTTCAGCAGTATCTGGTGTCCCAGGTTCAGAAAATTCGCTTACAGGTAACCTTTTAGTTTACTCGGATATCGATTATCTAGGATAGGACCGGCATTATGCGCAGATGGAAATTTTCCAGTTGCTAATAAATCCTTTGAACCGATAATTTTGGTTATATTGGTGGATTAATCTGCCCCAACATCTCAGAATTGAATAGATATTAAATCGGTACGGCTAACTAAAGTCCAGTTCTTTTGTAGTCTTGTCCACTAGTATTTGCATCCCGCTGAATCAAATACTTGTCCACTTGTATTTGATTCAGCGGGATGCTAAATCGTGTTGTTTAGTGCTGCTTACTTGATTTGTGAAAGACGAGATGCACATTGTTTTGTAGGGTTATTATAGTTTCAGCCAGAAGTTGAAGCATATTGTTCGCGTACCTTTTGCAGTTACTTCATATGGTATGTGGTTTTGTATTTGAGTTGTCTGTTTTTCTTCTTTTTGTTTGAAATGTGGTGGCTTCCATTTTTTATCATTGCAAAGACTCCACTTAGAGGTCGCACTTGGTGCGATGGCAAGTGCCTTCGCCCATGAGCAGTAGGTCTCGGGTTCGAGACTTGGGAGCAGCCTCTCCATAAATGGGGGTAAGGCTAGCCGACATTCACCTCTCCCAGACCCTGCGTAAAGCGGGAGCCTTGTGCACTGGGTACGACCTTTTTAAAGACTCCACTTCTTTCCTATGAGTCTGCCGTTATATTTTCCCTCGAAAATATTGTTATCATCATTATTGTCACAATTCAGTTTCTGATATCTTCGACGAATGTTAGGAACTGCTGCATTGTTACTTGTTATGGTCTGGAGACCCAACATCAGTTTCCTTACTCTCCCAGCAATATTGAGGTATAGGAATTACCAACCTATGATTCCAAGCATAAGCATTTCTTCATTCAGAATTTGTAGCTGTTCCTTTATAGTTTCTTTGCCTTTTTTCGGATTCGTGGTCTCAACAACATTGATAACGTGATCAATGTATGGGATAGTTCAAGATCTTGTCTAAACTTTTGTTGGATGAGTTTAATGTGAAAGCTAGTTTTCATTTGTGACCGACTATCTGCATTCTAAGCTGTATTATTATTACAAAGTAGATGACTTGAGAGGCAGCATTCGAAACCCACGAGGAAAATAACATACAAATCACACGATGACTGTTGCTGCGGTCATAGATCCTGAACTATGCTGAAACAACCACTTTTTATTCAGGTATCATTTTCTTTATTACATCTGGTTACAATTGCTACCGAAGTATTGGAAGTTGTTCAATTACTAAAAAAAGGTCATACCCAGTGTACAAGGCTCCCGCTTTACGCAGGGTCTGGGAGAGGTAAATGTCGGCTAGCCTTACCCCCATTTATGGAGAGGCTGCTCCCAAGTCTCGAACCCGAGACCTACCGCTCATGGGCGAAGGCACTTACCATCACACCAAGTGCGACCTCTAAAAAAAAAAAAAAAAAAAAAAACATGTTGACGCCCACAGTCAAACTCGAAAAACCCAGTGTAGCATATAGTTATATCCAAACTTTTTTAATCCTAAGTATGAATTTTCCCCATGATTCTGATGTTGGGTTACTTAGGTTTTGTTTTATTAGGTTTTCAGTTGTTCTTCAACGGTAATTAGCATCCTCTTATAATTTCTTATCGGTTATTTGCAATTTGGCATTCCATCTGTTCTGCTCTGATTTCTTGTGCTTTCTTTTGTTTTTTAGGGAGAGGCCAACAGTGGTTTGGACCGTCTCCGGCAGAAGAAGAAAACCGAAGTTAAACAGTAGAAAGAGATGATTCTTCTTCAGTTCATGGGGATGAGTTGTTTAATTTCTGAAATAAATTATGTGATGTTGAGGGTTTTTTCTTATCCAGTTAGTACTGTATGTTGCAAGTAGTTCCCAACCGTTTGGTGTTCTTGAGTTGGGCTGTTCTTTTGACGATTTAGTGACGATTTAGTAGTGAAACTTCTACCTCATTGAGTACCTTAATTATATTTCTGGGGTGTGAATTGTCAATGCGTAGAGTAGAATAATACGCGTAGATTCCAAATTCATTCTGGATATGGTGTACCTTAGAGGAACGTTGCACGTCTTAAAGTTGGAAAATGCAGTGAATGCAGGGAAGACCAACTTGAAAGGGACAGAAATAATTCAGAAAGTGGTATGTATTTTTTTTATTATTAATATATTTTCTGATTGTTTTATCCGACAGAGAATGTTCATATTTTTTCATTATTAATAAATTTTCCGTCAGTTATATTTGACACAAGTTCTGTTCATTTTAGAGTATTTTTTGTCGGTTTTATTCGATAGAGAATACTCTTATTTATTCATTATTAATATATTTTTTATCGGTTATATCCAACACAATTTCTATTGGTTTTAGAATATTTTTTGTCGGAAAATTCATTTCCTGACGTTGGCAATTCTATCGCTTATTATATCCGCCATTGCATCCATTTTATGTCAGATTTTCCTTAATATCTGACAGTAATGTGCGTTTCTTATCGGTTATCATAGCGACACTAATAAATGGGTTCATAGTAGTATTCATGAATCATGCATGTTTAGATTTGATCTGAATACCACAGATGGTTGCATGTTTGATATACACTCTTTGTTGGGGTCAAAGTAGGCATACTTTAGGAAAACCTAACCTTTAAATATGCATGTATAAGTCATAAGTAATTAGAAAAACTACGTAAGATTGTTAAGGTAACGACAGAACTCTAGTGCTTTTACAATTTAGTTTTGAAAAACCGTTGTTTTTAGTTTATTTTATTTTGCCAATTTATTTAATTATTTCTATTAAATTCGTTTTTATTATTTTAAACAAAATCACATTTTTTTTCTCAAAAAGTAGCTTATGGTAGAGTAGTTGGCCTAACAAAAGCACGGCAACTTAAAAATTCCCCTTATGAATGTATCTTAAGTAGAGGGCTTAGGCAGCCCGCCTACCAATCAAAGAGGTTGAGATTGGTTTAACATAAATTATTAATTAAATCCTTGTGGAGAACAACCTTACTAGAGCCGACTATACTACAATTACCTTGTACTCTTGTAAGTATTTTAAGTGTTTTTATCCCTACTTTTGTTGGTGATAAAAACCCTATCACACAGCTCGTTACTAGCTAGAAATTACACTCGATCATTTCTTATGAATATTTAGTTTTCAGCAATCGCCTGGAGGTAGGAGAACTCCTGCGGTTTAGAGAACATTACAATGTGTTCAGTACCATTTATCACCTGCACTTCATTCGGCGGATTTTCATTGACCATCCACCTCTGCCAACAGATCGCACACAATAAACACTTTACGAACTGACCCATATTTCTCATTGGCGAGTTTTATTTCATCATGAATACACCCTAAAGGACAGAATCTCAACAAGGATAATGCTAGTTTTAAATCCTTTTAATTAATTAATAAATCACCGATCAAGAAATACAGAGAAAACGAACAATGTTAGCCAACCAGTTGTAATAGATAGCTCCTCTGCACGATACTAGAGCGTGATTATACATATAACCTCTTCTGGGTGGACCCCACATGCTGCTAGGCCAAGGGCTGTGACATCGTAACCTGCAGAGGTTAGTAGAGCTGATAACTTATACCAGCACCGTGCTCCGTGACTGACTCCGGCAATCAGCGCAAAATGCTTCTTACTGGCATCTGGGTTTGGGGATGACGAAGACATGTTTCTTAACTATTTTAGCCTCTCTTTCCTTGGCCTAGCTGCATTTGGTCTAGGGCGTGCTTTTATATTCATGAAATCCTTTATTTGATCCCTCTATCTGCATTCTGTCTTTCTATTGCATTTTGTGTTTCTATTTGTAAACCATTAGAGGTTATTGAAGAAGAAGGTTATACAGAAGCAAGAAAGAAGAAAGAGATAGAGATAGAAGTAGAAGATTGAGAGATTAGAGGGAAGAATCTGTTGAGAATTGTAGTATCTTTTCATATCAGTTACAATGATTTGTTACAAGCTATATATAATAGCATTTGGTAGCTTACACTCTAAGTAACAATATAACCAACTTAACTAACTTCATAATCTTTTGACATTTGTCCATTTCATAACCATTGGATCTTAATACTCCTAACACTATTTACATGAAATTTAAATTTGAAAATGGGTGGTCCCAAATTTCAAGTTTTTTATCCACACTAAAATTTTAAATTTCTATATTTATGAATCCAAATTAGAAAAATAGTCCATGCCAATTTATAATGTGTTGGTAGCATTAGAAATCTAGCAATATTCCCTAAGTCTAAGTTTCTAGCATTCTTTTCAAACATTATATTCTTTGGTTTTATTAGATCTGTGATTTTTCACAGAATGTATAGATACTATGATTTCGTCTAGTTTAGTTAGCTTGGTCAAGATAAACGCCATTTGTATAATGGAGGTCAGCAGTGACGTTTGTATACTAATATATTTTTAAATTAAATTTGCAAATTAAATGGTATGTCACCAATATGAATAAGCATGCTAATTAACACTTATTAATAATTCAATCACAACTACATTGTTTGGTTTATAAAATTTGATTTGAAAATTTGATATCTTTAACATTCTCTGAGTTAGAAAACTACTTTTCAAGCAAATTGGAGTTCCCAATACGTTTCAACTTTAGTACACGTCAGGACTTTTGGCTTTTGAGTCGATTATTAGTTCTTGAGGTGTTGATCTGAACACCTGGTAATTTCATGTCATGTCATGTCGGATTATTGGGTCGTGTCAGAAATTATCAAGCCTACTTATGTGTAGCTCAACTCGCCTAATTCATTATCATCCTTTCATTTAAAAAAAATTGCACTTAAATTATTGGATTTCAAGAGATATGTTAGGTCACATGTTCTAAAGTCCATATTTTATTTGGAACATGACTTAAACGTGTTGATTGAGAAAAATTATTTTTGATGAATGAAACACGAAACTGATTTTTCAAAAGCTTCAAATGAGGTAATACTTTATATTTTTTTTATTGTTTTAGTGATTTTGACGACATCGATAATTATTTAATCTTGCTTTTGCTGTGTGATAAGCTCATATTTATATATATTTTATATAAAATTCACTTGTTTTTTCTTAGTTAGTTCCTTATATTTTTGAGCTATTTACTATGTTTTTGTGTTTTGTGTGATTTATCAAGCAAAGAAAAGAGAAGTAGCACAAGTGAGTTATTAAGTAACAAATTCGTCAAAACTGCCTGTGCAGATTAGCTGACTTTGGAAGCATGTTACGAACAGCTTAGAATAAATGAGTGAATGAGCCTTATATGCTTGGAAAGCTACGGATGTCTATTTTCTAGAGCAATTTACGGATTGTTAATATCATTTTTCTAGAAGAAGTTATGGGCATTGTAACATTGAAAGGTTCAGAAACGGGCTAAGCAGATTTGGCTAATAAAGTGAGAAAGTAAAGGCATTTGTTTTGTGTTTTGCTTTGTCATCAACACTCAGCAGCAAATGGGGTTATGATTGCACTCATTTGGCTTTGGAGCAAGTGGAAATGCACAGCTAGGAGATGAACAAGGCACATGGAAGAAACATGGACAACACACACACAAAGAGAAAGGCATGACATGGACAGTTTGACATGGGCAGAAAATGGGTGGATTGTTGGCTGAAATAATGAAGAATATGTGTGTGCAAATGCAAAGGAAAAACACACACACATGGGCAAAGGAAACACACACACATGGGCAAAGGAAACACACACACATGGGCAGAAAATGGGTTGATTTGTGGCTGAAATGATGGAGGTCATGTGTGTGCAAATGTAAAGGGAAACATGGACATCACACACCCATACAAACTGCACATGCAAGGAATTGAAGTGGTCCTCTCCTTAGCCTATAAATACATCCACCATTCCCCTTCCTAAGGACAATCTTGATCCATCAAAAGAGCTTCATTCACAAACACAATTTCCTTGTAGTGACCTCCATCCATTCATCTAGCCATACTACATCTCACCAATCCATACACTTTCATCTCTTAGCCGTGTAAATCCATTCCATCCATATATCCATACACATCCTAGACACTTGTGCTACAACAAGGTGGTGAAAACAAAGGTCCTTAGCGTTTCAAGCTTGGAACTTTGGAGCATTTTAGGTGTACTTCATTCTTGCTTTCAATGTCTACTTTGTTATTTTCTAATTTTGTTGCAATTATGAGTGGCTAAACCCCTATTTAGTTAGGGGGAAGTTTGAAGCCATGAACATGCTTGAGATTTGAATTGATTTCTTCCAATTGTGATTTGATAAGTTGTGATTGCAATTCAATTATCTATTTTATTCATAACTGATTCTTGTATGTTTATTAAGGATGCATACTTAGTTTTCATGCATGAATTAGATGCTAGAATATAAATGAGTTTCACCTAATCGTTACAAGTTTATATTCATGAGTAGTGAAGGTTGTTTATCACAATCGCGTTAATTGAATTCTTGGCAATTGTATCATGCATTCATAGTTATAATTGCCTCGTCAACACTTATGATTTTCATTGAACGTAATGATATCTGATTGTATCTCTATTATGCATTCATATAGGGGACTTTTAGAGAATGATTTGGGTTGTCGCATGCATTCATCCAATTCAATGAGTAAAGGAAAATTTGAGGGTTAATTTGTGCATCATGGTTAATCTGGGATGTTGAGCATCATAGTTTATTGAAAAGCAATTGGAAATCGATTCATGAACAAGTGTGTCATGTGTGAAGAACGGACCTCTAACTAATTCATCCATCATTTTATTTCTCAAATTCCTTTTATAATCTGCCTAGTTTTATAACTTGCTTGTTTATTTCAAATTCATCCAAATCAAAACCCCCATTTTACTTTCTTGTTCCAAAGTGTTTAAAATCTGTTTTGTTTGTGTTTTAGAGTGTTTTGATTTAAGTCAAAACACTAAATTCGTCCAAAGTTGTGTTAGAGTCAGAAACTGCCTAGTTTGTGTTTTTAGGCAGTTTTGAGTGTCTTTAAGTTATTTTGAGTCTTCTGAACCTGTTTTGAGTTCTTTAAGTCTATTCAAACGTTTTTAACTTTGTTTTTATGTTTTTGAGTTAGTTTAGAGGTTTTAGCAAGCCCTCCTAATCCCCGGTTTAGAACGATCCCTACTTACATTTATACTACAATTTGACAACAAGAGGGTTTAATTTGAGTGCTTAACTTTCATCGCATCACTGTGTTATTCAAGTTTCTATGTTCATATTCATCTTTTAGGGATCATATGGATTACATGAAAAATTAAATACCTAAAATTATCACCAAATATTAAAAACAGACAACATGAGTTTTAATGGTGGAATTGAAAACAACCCACAAATGCTTTAAATCCCAGCGGCATCTTTTGTCAAAAATTTTAGTCGGCATTTTTTGTCCAAATTAAAAGCTTTATAAGATTAGAGAAATGTGAGATGTATAGAAAACATGGGATGCATGTAGAAAATGTAAGGTGTATATTGAGAATGTGAGGTGTGAGGGTATTATGGGGAAGTATGTGGAGGTGTATTAAGATAATTTTTCATTGAAAAAACAAATGTGAAATGTATTAAATATATGGAGTTTATTCAACAATTTATAAAATGTTAATATAATAAGCCATTTAAAAATGATAAAAAAAAATTTAAGAAAGACAGCCTGGACCTTGAGTAGTCCTGTACCATTCCATCTTTCTGTGGGACCAACAATCTTGGACCCACATGTCGCCACGTTGCAGAACCTCAACTCTCTACCCGTGTGGTATCTCTCTCTCTCTTCCTTCTGTATGTCGCTCTACCGTGTTTTATATATTTGCTTAAACGTGAAATATTGTTGCTAACAATGACATGCGGTGCCTTGCTGCATTTGACAACTGGAGAGTCCGACGTTGATGCATGAAATGATATTAGTAGTAGCAGTACAGAAAAAGTCACAGACCATTAAATCATGTTGAAGAAATGTCTCACACCACCTGTGAAGCAAAAATAATCACAATACGATATATAGATTTTTGAACAAAAGAGGATAAAAATACTCTTGAGGCACAACGAGATTTCTACGCGTGAGCAGCGGGTAATCATCTCTCAGCCAAGTCAAAAATGCCAAAAAAATGTAACAATTCAAAAATCATCTCATCAAATCCCTCTTATAAGGTAATTCCTAAAACCTACCGCATTCCATATATATTTACCTCTTTCTTTCCTTCTTTTATCTAATTAATTAAGTTATTATTACATAACCTCCAAAAACTCCCAAAACATTTCTTTTATTATGATAATTAGCCAATTAATATATTTATACCTAATTAATATATTAATTGCTAATTTAATCACCAAATAACATGCCAAAAAACACTTAAAAGCCGGCAACCTTTTCTCCAAAGGGGACTCCCCTATAAAAGTCCTATTCTCTTCTCCAAAAGACACTTCTCATTCTCTTGCTAAAATTCTCCAAAATTATCAAACATTTTCTCTCTAAATTCTAACTTTGGCATCGGAGGCTCTTCAGCCAAAGCCCCCTCATTCATCGTGGACGCGTGAGGCTCTTGGCCTTGACCTAATGTGTAAATTGTTTTATAGGTGCAATCTTGTCCAAGATCAATGAGGAAGAAATTTGCATCCACACCACCGATCAAACAACACAAATTAGAACTTATATTACTTTAACTTTTAATTGGATCGACGTCTTTTGTAGAAGGCCTTCATACAATTACACGAGTGATTAAATGAGGATAATATTAATATAATTAGCATTGAATCACGACGCATATCTCTTAAAACTTATACAAACCTTACTCATCATTTCACGTAAGACGCCATTTGGTTCTTGACCAAGAGAAATGTTAAGGAGACTCTCTCAAAAGTGGACTTTTTATGAACTATTTGTCACTTCACAATTTAAAATCAATTCCCGTGGCAATACTATAAATATTGTGCAAAAAACATAAAGCGATAGGAATCCAAAAAGAATCCCACTTTTAAGAATTTCGTTAGCATTTCTCCTTGACAAAATATGTGGCTCTGAGTTAGGAAACTACTTTTCTAGCAAATTGGAGTTGGGAATACTATACATGTCATGGCTCATGTCAAGACTTTTGACTTTCGACCCAAGTATTAGTTCTCTGATCGATTTCTATAAATAAAAGTAAGACGAGAGATGCAAACCAAATCAAGGAAATTGTGAGTTAATGATACAGAAATTGGAATTGGAGAACATGACAGAGAAGCTCCTTTTGTTTGTCCTTTTATTTATTTTCTTGGCAAACGCTAGTACCTCAACCCCATCCCCGCCCTCCAACATTCACAACCAAACTCAAAGTCCAAAACATTTTGTATTGATACATGGAGCTTGTCATGGAGCATGGAGCTGGTATAAGGTGGCAACTCTCCTCAAGGACTCAGGTCACAATGTCACAGCTCTAGACTTGGGAGCATCCGGGATCAACCCGATTAAGGTACAACAACTCCCTTCGTTATCGGAATTCGTCGAGCCTTTGACAAAGGTCATGGTGTCTCTACCACCAAATGAAAAGGTTGTCCTTGTGGGTCACAGCTTGGGTGGAGCAGTCATATCTATTTTCATGGAGAGGTTCCCTCAGAAAATCGCTGCTGCAGTATTTGTCACGGCTGTCATGTATGGTCCTACATTGAATTTCTCAGCTGCATATGCAGAGGTAATGAACTTCATATTTATACTAAATGTCTAAAAGTTCCGTTTAATACTTTAGAACCTTGATAAATGAATGTTTGATAAAATAATAACCTCGGTTAAATAATAAAAAATTTCAATTCCAATTCGATTCAGTGTACGTACTACGATAATAATTAAACTTGCTAAATGCATAAGATAATATTTTTTCTTAAAATCGTTTAAGGTGCAACAAATATATAAAATAATAATTGATAAAATACATGAAAGAAATAACACATACTTAAGATCATTTCTCTAGTCATATTCACTTTATCTTGATGTTGGAGAAACCACTCATACAATACTTTTTCAAACTCGGAATACTTTGCGGGTTTGAACCTCTTAACATTGTTATCCTTCATCTCATCCGACAAATATCAGGTTGAACTTTTAAGAGTGTTTAGTGATCAACTAATATTTTTGTCGAACCCATTGTTTGCAAATCTTTTAACCAGAAGAAATATGCTCAATTTTATACTGGCAAATGCTCCCGTTGTCTCATGAGTCAATGTAGAATTTTTAATTCCTTTTAAATGAGATGTCATACATGAACGAGTTGAGTACTTTATCTTCTAGGAAATTAATTTTTTAAAACACTTGATCTTCTTGTTTTTTTTTTTTTTTAACAAACAATATTATTTACACTAAGGTGGATGAGATGTGCTAAACCTCACAATGAGTTAGCAATAATGTAGTTCAAATTTACCTCTGGCGAAGATCAAACCTAAGACCTCTCACTTACAAGTGAAAGAGAATACTACTAAATCATAGAACTAAGTAACAATCGTCTTGTTCTTAAATTATCTTAATATCACAAAAAAAAAAAATTCTTTATACATTATAAATACTCTAAAATAATAATTTTTCTCGGTCCCAACATTCTCATTTATAGAGGTTTTACTGTATACCCAATTTATTGATGATATGCTGTACTAACAGGAATGTGATGAATGAATATGACATTTTTCTTTAAATATCTGTCACAAGTAACACTTTAACATGATCTCTTGTTCATTGTATTTGGAATCCTACTTAAGGGATATTAACTAAAAAATAATTTTCTTAAAAATGTATAGGTTACCAAAGGATTTGACGTTATGGACTCTCAATACATATATGACAACGGGACCAACAACCCTGCAACCTCCTTTCTCTTCGGGCCTAAGGTCATGGCGACAAGCTTGTACCAGCTCTCACCACCACAGGTAAGTCTTGAAGTGTGTCTATTGCAATATATAAGAACCTTATCGTGTTCTCTTAACACACACTAGAAATATAAGATGTAGTGTAAGAGTAGAGCGCTAATAGTTTCAAAAAATAAGTTCGGGCTTTCCAATATTGGTTAGCTAAACTTTTCCTTGTTTTATGATTGTAATGGACAGGATTTAAATCTAGCGTTATCATTGGTGAGACCTTTTCCTATATATAATTATGATGTAATAAAACTCACGAAGGAGAAGTATGGATCAGTTCGTAGAGTATTCATCGTGGCCGACCAAGACCATGCGATTGCGTTGGATGCGCAAAATTACATGATCAAGTACAATCCCCCAAATGAAGTGAAAGTGATAAAAGGTTCTGATCACATGGTCATGTTCTCTAAACCAGTGGAGTTGTTCTACCACCTCCAAAGTATTGCTGAGAAGTATTCATAAGGACATGGACGGACATGATTAATTCAGGCATGCTAGGTAGCCTGCGTTGCATGCACCATAGTACAAAATGTAAATGAATAAATGTGATTGTTTTAAGTACTAATAATTATGTGTCCATGAACTTTAGTTCAAGAGGCATGACGCACTACTACAAACATGGTCACTGCGTTTAGCTTGGCTTGTGGTCGCTTCTCATTTTTCAAGGTTATGTTTTATTTTTTACAATAAACGATATTATCTATATTAAAAGGTTAAGAATGGGTTAAGTCTTAAAATGGGCTAACAATAATGTGGTTTAAATTCGCATTCGACGAGAATCGAACAAAAAACCTCTCATTTCCAAGGAAAGAGGAATCACTAGACCACAGTACAAAGTGACTTCAAAGTTATGTTTTTAGTTTCTGTTTATTGGATACCCCCTACTATTAACTATGGGAAATTTGGAAAAATAACCAAATTTTGGACCCCATATAGAATTACAGCCACCATTTTAATTTTATGATAATGATAACTAAAATTTGATGTAAAAGTACTGATATATCCTTAATGTCATGTTATGCATGTATTCAAGGCTTCATTGTAAGTTTATGAGTGTCAAGGAGAATGACTTCTTGTTCTCAACAATCTAGTAACTCAGTTTATGAGTTATCATGTTGAGAAAATCACGTTCTTACTTGGCTAAGATTAAGAGTCCTAATAACATGCAATTATATTCAAGTAACCTTCTCAAGTTTTGAAAGACTCCCAACTTGCATCGATTGTTTCAAAGGGAAAATGACCAATAATAGAAAATTAGGATCCACAAGAAACAAAAAACTTTTAGAGATAATTCATACAGATGTGTGTGGCCCCTTCCCAAATAAAACAATATGTGGTAATTCGTATTTTGTCACCTTCATTGACGATTTTTCAAGATATTGTTATGTGTACCTTATATCTAAAAAGTCTTATGTTCTTGATTGTTTTAAAATATACAAAATTGAAGTTGAAAACCAACTTGAAAAGAACATTAAAATAGTGAGATCAAATAGGGGTGGTGAGTATTTTGGCAGGTTTACAAAGACTAGACAACACAAGGGGGCCTTTGCATCTTACCTTGAAGCATCATGGATTATTGCTCAGTATACTACTCCAGGGACTCCACATCAAAATGGAGTGGCATAAAGAAAAAAATAAGACCTTGAAGGACATGATTCGATCCATGTTTTCGAGGTCTAAACTTCCAATTTTTCTGTGGGGAGAAGCACTCAAAACAACCAACTATACACTCAATAGGGTTCCAAGCAACTCAAAACAACCAACTATACACTCAATAGGGTTCCAAGCAAGTCTGTCAAAGTTATACATTTGGAAGCTTGGACAGGTAGGAGACCAAATTTCAATCATTTTCATGTCTGGGGATGTAGGGTTGAGACATATTTACAATCCTCACGAGAAAAAGTTGGATCTGAGGACTATAAGTTGTAGATTTATTGGATATGCTGACAAATCCAAGGGTTTTAAATTCTATTGTCCTGATTCTCACACTAGAATTCAGGAGACCAATAATGCAAAATTCTCATTAAGGATTTGGAAAAAGAAACAGTGCAACACAGCAGCTCAGATTTTGAAGAAATTGGAAATGACCTTGATCAGCATTCTGCAACAACTGATGCACCATAACTTGTCAATCAAGAACACTCATTTTCTCTCCCCACTGTTCTCTAAGCTGCTCAGCTAGTGAGTTCATGATTGCAATCTTGTGTTAGAGATCTCAATAATAAAAATAAAAATTATTATTATTATATATATATATATATATATATATATATATATATATATTGGTGCAGTGCACCAGCAATGTTTGACAGATGATGGGATTGGGTCGTTGACCCAACAATCACACCCTTTGTTAATAAACGCTGCACCTTTCTGTGTTTTGGCGAAAAGGTGTGATGTAACCGAATGCATTTTTGCATCAGACAAACATTGCTGCAATGTTCAGTTGTATCTCATGATGAGAGGATACACCCAAAATCAAAGGATATGTCTAAAGGTGCAATTCTCTCTATATATATTGGTAATATTAGTAGAAGAGATTCACATTCAGAAATTAGTTATCTACATAATTTCTTTGCTCTCTTTTCTCTCAATATCACATTCATACAATTTCTTTTTAGTTATTTCTAAGGGAATATAATTCGGTTTTGCTAATTGAATATTCCATACTTTGTTGTATCCTGGAAGTGATTTGCCAAGAACCCTTTAGCAAACTCATTCGAGTGGGGGCAAATAACACTTTAAGGAAACGATTCAAGTCGTACCTCAAAGTCATTATTCGGATTATTCTCCATAATTCTACATTTACTCAAACATCTTGAACATCAAGTCCCTAAGCGCCAAATCTCTGAGGTTGTTGTTGCTCAACCATTGCAACAAGTGCAATTGCCTATTAGACAGTCAAACAGGCAAAGAAAACTTGTGATCTTACCTGATTTTGTGTATTTACAAGAGATTGAATACAACATCGGGGATGATGATGATTCTTTCACTTTTAATCAAGCTGTCAACAGCCTAAGAGCATATTTATGGCATGCTGCAATGATTGAAGAGCTTGCAGTTATGGAAAAGAACCAAGTTTGGCAGTTTGCAATGCCAAACCCATTGGTTGCAAATGGGTGCTCAAAACCAAAAGAAATGCAGAGGGAAAGGTTAAAAGACATAAAGCTAGACTTGCAGCTAAGGGTTTTACATAAAGAGATGGTATTGAATATAATGAAAACTTCTCACCAGTTTCATCCAAAGACTCCTTGAGGCTAATCATGGCTTCAACAACCCATTTCAACTTGGAATTACATCAAATGGATGTAAAGTTAGCTTTCCTTAATGGTGATTTGGATGAAGAAATAGTAATGGTTCAACCACCAGGTTTTATGGAGAAAAGGAATGAGTCTATGGTCTGCAAACTCTACAAATCGATCTATGGGTTAAAGCAATCATCCAGGCAGTGGTACATCAAATTTGACCAAGTTGTTTCTGCTTTTGGTTTTGAAGAAAACAAGATTGATGACTATATATACCTCAAGGTCAATGGCACGAAATTCATATTTTTGGTATTGTATGTGGATGATATTTTGTTAGCTAGCTCAAACTTAACTCTCTTGCACACAACTAAAAGCATGTTAACTGACAGTTTTGATATGAAAGACTTTGGTGAGGCGCATTTTGTTCTTGGCATTAAAATTGAGAGAGACAGATCCAAAAGAATGCTAAGATTTTCTCAAAAGTCCTATATTGACATAATCATGAAGAGATTCAACATGGAAAAGTATGCAAGTGGCTAGCTTCCCATTGCAAATGATGATAAGTTAAGTACTGATCAATGACTTAAAAATGATCTTGAGAAGAATGGAATGTAAAGATAAGCCTTATGTTTCGCTTCTTGGCAATATCATGTATGCTCAAGTGTGCACAAAGCCTGATTTGGGGTTTATAATTAATCTTCTAGGGCGTTTTTCAATCTAATCCTAGGAATTCTCACTGAACTACAGCAAAGAAAGTACTGAGGTACAAGAAATCTTACACTGGTATATCAACAAGTTGAGAATTTAGAAATGGTGGCTTATTCTGATTCAGACTTAGTTGGCTGTGTTGATGATAGAAAATCTACAAGTGGATATGCTTTTCTTCTTGCTGCTGGTGCAATCTTGTGGAAAAGTTCCAAGGAAAAGGTAATTGCTTCCTCAATGATAGAGGCTGAATTTATTGGTTGTTACACTGCCACCAAACAAACAATCTGGTTGAGGAATTTTATCATGAGATTGAAGATTGTAGATTCAATTGAAAAACCTATAACTATTTACTATGACAATAAGGCTGCAGTTTTCTTCTCCATAAACAACAAGAGGTTCATCACTTGCAGACTAATGGACATAAAGTATTTGCGTGTGAGAGATGAAGTCAGAAAAGGGCTAATCAACATAGTTCATATAGGGACTGATTCAATGACAACTAATCCAACGACTAAGGACTTACTAGTATGGGTGTTCAAGAACATGTCTACAATATGGGAATGCGTGAAGATTTTGATTCTGTTAATGAGTAGGAGTAATACACCCATTTATTGTTTTCTGTTATGTTTCTTTTTGCTTAATTGGATGCTTTCATAATATTTTGTTCTCATATTATCTTTTTGAAATAATATGAGCTATGCTTTTGCATGAGGCTCAGTTCAGGAGTTGAATTTTGTTTATCATCCTGAAACACTTGAATTTTTGTCAAACAACACAGTGTTCATGGATTAGATACTTGTAATCATAAAGTGCACATGTAGAATGAATTACATATTGCATTTATGATTCAGTATTCGAAGCTATAAGTGACAGGTTGTTAAAGGTTTAATTGCAGCGTCTAGTGTGATCATCTTAATCTTAACCAATGCAATGTCATTCTTCTTGGACACTCAAGTGGGAGAATGTAAGTTTGTGAGTATCAAGGAGAATGACTTATTGTTCTCGACAAACTAGTAACTCAATTTATGAGTTATCATGTTGAGAAAATCACGTTCTTACTTGGCTAAGATTAAGAGTCCTAAAAACATGCAATTATATTCAAGTAACCTTATCAAGTTTTGACAAGAGTTCAATATCAAGTAGAACTATATCGAAACCCTAATTAGTATGGAATATCCGAGGTATCAGTTAATAGGCCTGATGTCAAGGATGATTGGCTATATATTGGGAGGTCCCTGCACTCACAGCACCATCCCTTTTAAGTGTAACCTTATTCTAAGCTGGAACTTTTAACTGTTGAGTGTTGAGTGTAGAAGATCTCTTTTCATTCTTTGCAGCAATGGCAATCCCTTCTTCAAGTAAGCATACTATCTTTATGTATACATGTTGTAATATGTATATGTGATTCTATGCATGCATTGTTCTAATAATTTACATTCATACCATGTTTGTAACTTTGTATTGGCAATCACAAGTATGATTGGCCATTACAGCCATGCATGGAAACTGTAGTGGGTGCCTTACAGTCTCAAGTTCAACATGCTTGGAAACTCATCTAAACCAATTGGAACAAGTGCCCCAGCTACACGAAATCTTTTTATTCATTTGATGTTGGGTCAGTAAATTTTGTGTACATTCCCACTGAGACCAATTTTGTTGAAGGAAGCAAGCAATTGGAAGTTTTAAAGCATTATTTAGAAGCGGTGGATAGGAGGAAGAAGCCATTTGTGGTGGTGCAAAGACATAGGCC